TTAATAAGAGGTACACTATATACCTCAAAACACACTTTACAAACTTAATTCATTTCATTTTCAAAACAATTCTATGAAGTGTTATTTTCACTTTACAGATGATAAAATTCTGGATTGGGGGGGATTAAGTAATAACCCAGTGTAGCATCCTCAGAATGTAGCAGGCAACTATGATTTAAAAGCAGCTCTGTATAACTTCAAAATCCATGAATTAAAAAAAAAAAAAATGCTTAGTTTTGTTCTTTCCCTTGCCCAGGCCCTTCCTACAAAATGTTTTTGAAAGTACTGAAAGGAATAATTATAGAACTCCTGAAAGGATATGATATTAAAAAACAACATATAAATTTAGTTAATAAGGGATCTTAAGAATTAAGTTAGCCCCCCAATTTTTTAACTGTTTGGGAGAATTGAGGTCTGACAAAATTTCAGAGTTAATTAGCAAGGAATGAAAGTTTGAAAATCCTGATAGTCCGCATAAATGCTGTTCTCATTACACTACACTGCCAATCAAATGTTCATACTTTCACATATATCAAAAATATATGTATTTAAACATATTTCCTAATATTTTAATAAAAACCTTCTAGAGACCACTGGAAATCAAGACATTTTCTCCCACTTATTTATAACTAAAATTTTGCTGGTATTTTTCATTATACAAAAAAGATAGAAGTGTTATATTCAGACAAAAATACATTTTAGAACTATAATTATTACTGAGAATAATCAGGGATATTTCAAAATGGAAAAGAGGTCAGTTCATTAGAAGGCATAACACTCCTAAATATGTAAGTTATCCAATAACAGAAATTCAAAAACATGAAGTAAAAACTGATAGACCTGAAAAGAGAAATAGGCAAATCCATAATTATAGTTGGAGAGTTCAATTTCTTCTGTCAGTAATTGAAAAAAAAAAAAAAAAACAAATAGAGAGAAAATCAGCAAGAATACAGAAAACAGACTTACTGAATCTAATTGGCACTAATAAAACATTCCAGGTGACAAAAGCAAAATATACATTGTTTTCTATGTAGGCTATTTTCAGTGCCAGAGTTTTAATAGTTTTTTTAAAGAATCAGAAGCATATTATGTATGTTCTTTCACAAGAGACTGAATCAAAGACCTACAACAAAAATATATAAAATATACACAAATATCTTCACATTATGCAACATATTTCTAAATAACTTGGGACTAAAAGAAAAAAATAAGGGGAGCAATTAGAAGACACCTTGAACTGACTGAAAATCATACATTTTATTAAAATATGTGAAGCAATGATACACAGTGTTTCAAAGGAAATTTGTAGCATCACTGGTTATATTAAGAAAAAAAAGTTTTCAAATCAGTGACTTAAGGTTCCATGTTAAGAATTTTCAAATAGAAGAGCAAATTAAACCAAAGCAAGAAGAAATAAGATAATTTCATTCTAGGGCATAAACCAAAGAAATATTAAACAGAATAATAATAATAAAAAAACCAACAAAACCAAAAGCTGATTAAAGAGATCAATAAAAAGGAAAATACTGATCTCTACATGGTTCAGTCAGAACATAAAGGAAGTAGACACAAATTATCAATATCATGAATGAAGGAAAGAACATTACTACAGATCCTACAGACATAGTGAGGATAGAAAATATTATACAACTTCATGTCAAAAAATTGAATATCTTTGATTCACAAGCTAAATTACCAAGTGAAAAAGTAATCTTATTGTAAGAATCTACCTCACTTTTAAACAGAAACAATACTTAACACATTTAACTCAGTAATCACATTTTATATCTTAAAATATAAACAGTATTTCCATTTTGCTCAAGCTCAAAAACTTTTTGTAAAATGACATCAACCAATGCCTTTTATCAAATTGTACAGTATTTATTCCTGGCTTCATAAAAATACTACATGCTAAAGTCTCTACTGGATAAGGGCAAAATCATTTCATTTCCTTTTATATTAACAAGCAAAACCAATTTGTCTATTGTACATAAGTAGCCTTGATTTTCCTTATGACTGTTATAAATTCCAAGATTTTCTGAGAAAAATGACACAACGTCCATAATGCTTTGAAATGTGAATCTGTCAAAATACTGGATTTTTTTTTCAACAAAAATTTGATTTAATCAAAAAGTGTTTGCATGACTTTATATTTATTTAAAAAGCTATTTGGCCTAAAATTAGAATGATAATAATTACAAAATGTAGTATCTAATAGGAATCACAGTTCTTTTAACATGCAAGATTTAGCTTGTACAAACGTAACTAATTAATAACATCTGAAGTGCATTCTCCTATAGGACTGATGACCATCTGGTTGACCTTGCACTAGATCAAGAGGGAAGGCAAATCTGTAAATCATTGTTCCCCAAATGTTATCACTCCATCATTCTACTACAAGAAGAAGGGATAAAACTTGGATGAGAGAAAAGATCTCTTGTTTCACACATTTCTAAATTGACTTTGATTGTCAATTGGACTGTAAGACAACACTGAGAGGATTCTTCTAATGTCCCATCCAGAAAGAGACTGGCGGAAGACCAAGTAATAGTGAAGGAAAAGAATTAAAGACAGAAGAGCCAGGAGGCAAGGTCATTATGAAAGAATATAAAGATGCAAATGACCTCTGTGTAATGTAGCCTGATATTATTTGAATTTCCTCAGAATCATTTTCCAACTCACAATTTTTGGCTGAGAAATAGTGATAGAAATTTTGAAATAAAGGAAAGCGAGTATATATAATATGTATTTTAATTAATATATATTCACGTATGTGCCAACCTTGTATAAAGTCCTATATTGTAATGTCAAGAGTTAATAATTTTGGAAGAAATGCAGCTACTTACTCATTGTGACACACAGAAAAATCATCATAAAATCAAAGAGAAACTTAAAACAATAAGAAATTCAGAAAAGGCATCTGAAACAACTATACTGTCAAATTTCTTAGGAAAATGATTATGAATTAATGATTAAAATTTATACATTTGAACAATTGTTTTGTCCAAGGCATTTTTCCTATGCTACTATGTCTAAAATATAGTTGCCTGTAGAAATTTTTTGTACTAATTTAGAAATTATGGAATTTCATTATTTGTTCTCCCAGTTGATATATCTCTTTAAAACAACTTAAGTGATATTTTCTGATTATTTTCTAGCAAGACTCTTAGGAAGAATAAAATATTTTAGAACTCTCAGATCAATAGTTTATCTTACATTGCTGTATTCTACACATGTTATAAATTAAGGTCAGTCTTACTCTGCAAGAATCTGCTTTGAATTTGAAACCATTAGAGTATTTTAAAAAGTCCATCATAACTTCTATTCACTCTATACATAGCAGTTACTGTCTTACTTAGTATTAAAGTTTGGTTTTTAAAAATTATACTACTTAATTTCCTCTATAAAAGTCTTTTCTAGGGATCCCTGAGTGGCTCAGCGGTTGAGTGTCTGCCTTTGGCCCAGGGCGTGATCCTGGAGTCCTGGGATCGAGTCCCACATGAGGCTCCCTGTATGGAGCCTGCTTCTCTCTCTGCCTATGTCTCTGCCTTTCTCTCTCTGTGTGTCTCTCATGAATAAATAAGTAAAATCTTTGAAAAAAAAAGTCTTTTCTAATACGGACGTGATTGATTATCTCTGGTGAAATACTTGTCTTTAAAATTTACACATTTCGGGTTAAGTTTGGGTTAAAAACAAGGTTGGTTAGTTTGATGTAATAGAGAGAACAAGTTTAGATAACTAATCTGTGAGACCACTCCATCTTCCTATATATTGAGAGAAATACAGAAAAGAGGAGACAAGTTGTACTTCTACCTAATGCCTTTAGTTTTCATTTGATTACATATTTCATAGTTCTCAACTTGGAAGAAGAGGTATAAGTAGACTGCAAGATGTCACAGTATTTAAAAGACACTTCCAGGGGCCTTTCCCACTACTTAACTGAATAGCCATGGGTCTTAAGGGAGAATGCCTGGCTTAGAAGCTAAGGAAGCAATTAGAAGCTCACACACTCTAAGTTCTACATAAAGTTCCTTCAGTGCTTATGATAACCTTGGGGAAATCCCTTGGTGACTTAAGAAGGAAAGAAAAGAAAAAAAAAAAAGATATCCATTTGACTGATAAGTGCCCATCATACTGTTGTTTGAAATTCAAGACAACAGAGGATTTCAAAGACACTTTGCTACAGAAAGGTCTGAGAGTACACTGTTTCTCAAGTTAAATGAAAATATGTTCAATGACACTAAGGTTTATACAGAAAGTAAGTTGAAAGAAGTCATAAAAATATAGTAACCCCACTTGGCAAGATGACCTTCTTGATCCATTTCTTATTCTATCTGTCCAGTTAGCATGGGTTACATGACTGACCGAACTATCTATACCAATGCTCATGCATACATTTGGCAAACCAGTCCCTCAGAGCGTCTTACACCTTTTATGTCTGTGCAAATTTGAAATCGCATCCATTTTCCTGAGCATCTGAAGATAACATTTGTACACAACAGCAATCAAAACCATAATCCCAACCTATTCTTTTAGATCCTTTTCAATTAAGTAGGAGACTCTGCCAATCTCAGGAACTCCTTTTGGACATGGAAGAAGGACCATTAGAACATATGGAGAAATCAGTCTGTAGGATAAGACTAAAATTTCTTAAGAAAAATTTTAAGTAAATTAAACCTGCATAGACGTGTCTGCTAATGAGGAGTAGCACGTAGAGGGTATTTCTCAAACACCAGGTGACTCGTCAGAAGAGAATTGCAAAGGGATAGGATATACTTCAAGCATTTTCATAAGCAAATGCAACAGAGGGTTTTTGCCTATAAACCAATAATTTAAAATAGCCACGTCATCCCAAAAGCAGTCCAGTAAAATTTTTAAAATTCATCAGCAGTTGTTAATATTTTACCTTTAATCGGTTATTAATGTTTGGATCTGGATGTGAAATTTTAAAAAAGACTTCAAATGAAATTTCCCCCAGAGTATTTATCAACTTTTCTTACCATCAAATGTTAAATAAACTCTTGCTTGGGGCTGAGATGATCCTTTTACACAGATAGAACAAACAAATACTCCAACCAACGCGAAAATTGTCCGGAAGGCCATTTTCTCCAGATTTGCAAGTTAATATCCAAGGGAGAATACCTTTAAAAGAGAGGTAACAAGTTTGTGAGACATCATTTCACATTTTAGGAGCACACCCCCTCACATACGCACAGATACACACAAACCCAGCCATCTAGACAGAGCACCTATTCACAAAAGACATATCTAGACGTTTACAGTCATGCAAACAGTAGGAGGTGCTCTGACTTTGTTTCTTAGATGTGAAAAATTGGATTTGATTCATTTGTGTCTGAAAGTCTTTGCAAAAAAAAAAAAGAAGAAAAGAAAAAGAAAAGAAACTGCTTTCTCTTCCAGCAAATACTGCTAATATTAAAGCAGAACGAAGCAGCCAGGAAACGTGTCCCTAAAGGAAAACCCGATATTTAAACTTGATCCTCCAATGATCACATAGCATTGAAAAGACCTGAGAATGGTACCAATCCGCATGAGTGGCTGAAAACTTCTCTTTCTACCATAAATACAGTAATAGCAGGAAAACGCCATATGAACTTTCACGCACACCCACTCACTCCCATCCTCATTAGCTCTTTTGGGGTAATCATGTCTGAAATGGTGTTTCTGCACATAAATATATGTGTGCTCAATCCTTGACCACTGAAATCACTCAAATTAGTTGTCTGCCAATTTACACAGATGACCATGCAGCTGTTAAATGATGCAGATGAGGTAACCATGGACGGATGCCAAATTCAAACCAATGACTTAGTGGTGAGCAATCCAGTGAACCATGTACCCCGCGATGCATATTTAAGATAAATCAAGCAGAAAGCAGGCTGTCAAAATTCCAAGAGATAAATCAGAGAGAAAAGCATTACCTTTGGAAACTGTGGCCATAAAATTAATACGTACTATTACCTAATGTGTGAGTACCAAGCAGGACCAGGTAAGGGGGTAACCGGGGATCTACAGCGGCTCTAGTGGCCACAAAATGCAAAATGAACCCACCCGGACCGTGAAAGAAATCGTATCATTTTGAGTGTGATGTTATTCTACAATAAAATGACCGAGTTAAATCTAGAAATCTGTTTTTTTGCAGGTTACAGCAAAGCTAATCTTCACTGTTATGTGTCTTTTAATATTAAAGTCTTAACATTTTATCCAATAAAGGAATGCCAGGAAGAACGGGAAAGACTGCTTCGTGAATGCAGAAGAAGAGGCGCAACTAAACCGAACTTGCCATTTTAAACAATCTCCACGTTTTCAACAGTTGACTTCCTGGGTGGTGCACGTGTTATGAGACATAGAAACAAAACTGTTTGCCTTTCCCAACACAGACGGAGGAAGAAACCCTGGAGATGTTTGTGTTGGTAATTTTCAAACGAAACAGTTTCTTCCTGCTTCCACAACCTCTTCACCTTGTCGTCTCTAAATTAACTTAGAAGAAAATTGATTTTACGGGGTTACTGTCTCTTAGTAATTTGCTCCCTGGTTTTGTTGACTTTACAGTAAAAAAAAAAAAAAAAAAAAAACTCTAAATATGCCTGACCTTTGTCCCCTTATTAATTGAGCAGGCAGACAATATCTACACATGTTGACACACTGCTACCACTAGTGTTCTAGCTGGCGGGTCTCCCCCCAAAGCAACGTTTGCTAAAACCTGCAAAGAGTAACAGCGGAGGCGAACTGACAGGTCGCAGGAGCCGAGTCCGCAGAGCGGGGTGGCCCGACGGGGTCCGGCACGTGCCCCCCAGCGACGCAGCTTCCCTGCAGCTGGCCCCGGGGCGCGCGGCTTGTTCTCTCCTCCAGGTCACACCAGTGACCACGGGCAAGGCGGGGCCGTCCCCCGCCCCAGGGCACCGCGCTGCTCCCGCGGGGACCCCGACCCCGAGGCCCCGCCGCCCCGCAGGTGCCGCGCCCCGAGCAGCCCCCGTCCGCGCCCGGCAGGTGCGGCGCCCCGACCCCGAGGTCCCGCCGCCCCGCAGGTGCCGCGCCCCCGGCAGCCCCCGCCCGCGCCCCGCAGGTGCGGCGCCCCGACCCCGAGGTCCTGGTCTCCGCGGGGGGCCCCGACCCCGAGGTCCCGCCGCCCCGCAGGTGCCGCGCCCCCGGCAGCCCGCGCCCCGCAGGTGCGGCGCCCCGACCCCGAGGTCCCGGCGGGCGCCCCGAGGTCCGCGGGCCGTTGTCCCGGGCGCGGCGCCGCTTACCGAGAAGGCCGGGTCGCCGGGCTCAGCCGGGGCCGCCGCCGCCCAGCCCTTCCCGCAGAGGGCCCGCCGTCCGCGGCGTCCCGGCGGCGCCTCCTCCCGGCGCTCCGACTCTTTGTAGGGCGCTCGCGGACTCGGCGCCGCTCCGCCAAGCCCCTCGCAGTGAATGGAAAGTGGCCGGCACCGCGGCGGGCGCGAGGGTGTCCGGTTACAGCGACGCGGCGCGCGGCTCCCGCGGCCCCGGCGCACCGCCCAGCACCCCCGCCCCCCCGGCCCCCGCCCCGCCGGCCGCACCCCCGCCCGGCACCCGCCCGGCACCCGCCGCACCCCAGCCCCGCCTGCCCCCGCCCCGCCCCGCCGGCCGGGCCCCCCCCCCGCGCCGCACCCCCGCCCGGCACCAGCCCGGCATCCCCGTTCCAGCACCCGCCGCACCCGTCCAGCACCTCGCCCAGCACCCGCACCCCGTCCAGCACCCCGTCCAGCACCCCGCACCGTCCAGCACCCCCGTCCAGCACCCCCGCACCCCCGCCCAGCACCCCGTCCAGCACCCCGTCCAGCACCCCCGCACCCCGTCCAGCACGCCCGCCCAGCACCCCCGTCCAGCACCCCGCCGCACCGCCCACCCCGTCCAGCACCCCCAGCACCCCGTCCAGCACCCGCCGCACCCCCGCCCAGCACCCGCACCCCCACCCCCCGCCCAGCCGGGTCCCACCCGGAGCGCGCGGCGCGGGAGGGCGGCGGGGAGCGGGGGGCGCGGCTGGTAGCCCGGGCGGGGCGCGCGCTCCGGGGAGGACGCCGGGCGCCCAGCGGGGGAGGGAACCGCGGCCGTGACGGGCGGGACCTACCTCCTCCCGCGGCGCAGCCCCTGGAGCCCGCGCCCGCCCGCCCGCCCGCCCGCCTGCCCCGCCGCCTCCCGGGCCCCGGTCCCGGACCTGATGCGCCGCCCGCACCTGAACCGCCCGCAGGGGCCGGGGCTCGAGGGGTCCGGGCGCGACGCGAGCCGCTTGTTCCCGGCACTACTTCCAGGACGACTGGCAGCGAAGACGCGAGCAGCTCCGTGACCTGAGTTCACGGCAATGAATTGCGCCACAAAACACCTGACAGCTTTACAGAGCGGCCGCAGACGGGGGGAAGCACCAAACACCTTTCTCTGAACTAGTTCTGGGACCGCCCAGGACCCTGCGGACCGAGCACCTCCCGCCCGAGCAGGAGCAGTCGCCCTACCGAGGCCGGAGTCAGCGCTTCGCCCTCCGGGAGGCAGAGGACGCGTCCCTGAGCGGTTGCTGGGATCAGTCACACAAACCACACAATCCTTCACTTGGAAGCGCGCAGCCCCCGGGCCCTGGCCTACAACCCACGGCAGGTGAACATACTCATGCGTTTCACCTTTAAGTTCCAGGGAACCAAGGTAACCGATGCAAGGTGAAATGCAAGTCAAGCGGCGTGTCCACGGGGAGGGCCGCCACCTGTCCCGGCCTCCAGCAACCCCAGGAATGGACCCTCGGGTTCACACACATTCGCACGGCTTTGGAAGCTGTGACAGCTTGGGTTTAGCTGCAGTCTGTGCACCCTGTGCTGTGACCCCCTCTATCTTGTCTAAATAAACGTATCCTTGTATTTAACCGAATGCTATCTGTTCAATACCGAGCATTAGGGGGTGTCTGCTTAGGCCTGGAACATTCACTGTGGGCCTCACCCCAAAAGACTGTAAGGTTGCTGCCAGGCAGTCGCCGCGGCAGACTCAAGCACGGGGATGCATCGAGCGCTCGCGCTTGCCCGCAACCTAGGCCGCACAGTGACATGTTCGGGTGGCAAGAGGTGCCCCTACCCAGGAAGACTCAGCTCTGTCCCCATGTCTCCAAACCGCTCAGAAACCTGAAACAACCCTAACTAAACGGCACCTTTGCAAGACACTTGTCTAGGATGAGTCTTTGATTCCTTCCTGATAGGTGGGAAATGTTGGAGCTGATTGAGTAAGCTGGTCTGGGGAGGGCCGCTAGATCCAGAGAAGGGGGGCGCCCGGGGGGCTCGGCGGCTGAGCGGGATCCTGGGGTCCCGGGGCGAGGCCCACATCGGGCTCCCCGCAGGGAGGAGCCTGCTTCTCCCTCTGCCTGTGTCTCTGCCTCTGTGTGTGTGTGTGTCTCTCATGAGTAAAATAAATAAATCTTTAAAAAAAAAAATCCACAGAAGTAATGATAGAACTCAATGTAGAGACCACTAATTACAGTTTGCCCTCATCAGGGTGTCTGCGGGAAAACATCCAAGTTAAAATACTTTGAATCACTTTCACGAAAATGTCAAAGAAATGGTGTGACATCTACACTGAGGTTTCTCTGCTTCGTGGCCTTACTTTTTCTTTTGTATATTTTTGGTGATCCTGCAAAAAAAACCATTTCCCTTAAGCTCCTGGACATAACCTTGTCTTCTTCTTCTTTTTTTTTTTAAGATTTTATTTATTTATTCATGAGAGACACACAGAGAGAGAGAGGCAGAGCCACAGGCAGAGGGAGAAGCAGGCTCCATGCGGGGAGCTCGACAGGGGACTGGATCCCGGGTCTCCAGGATCACACCTCAGGCTGCAGGCAGCGCTAAGCCGCTGCGCCACCGGCGCCACCCAACCTTGTCTTCTTTATGAGTCGTGCAGCTGTGAATTCTCTTATTTCAAATTTAAAGAAAATAGACTGTTCTCAGATCTTTCTCCATCATATAGATGAGCTATATGAATCAACTTTATCTGATAAGAGAATCGCAACCCTCCAGAGAGCGACAGTTGTCTTGTGGTCGTGACTAATATTTGTCTCAAGACAGACCATATATATTCCGAGCGCCTTGTGTACTGTACGAACAGCATTCTTTAATTACGTTACTATCTCACAAATGAGAACACTGATGTACACTGAAGTCACATGTGGATGGTAAATATTGCGATAGAGAAACTCAAGTGTGACTAACTCGCCACCTTAGGGTCTTGAATGTGAACCTGAGCAAGTGTTACACTAGCTTCTTCCCCTCTGGATCTTCTCCTCTTCTCGAAGTTCCAGATGCTAACACTTTAAATTTCCTGGACTATATCTTTGAAAGCCTCTTCTTCAAGTGCTACTTACTTGTTTGCATCAGCCCTTCTTCTCCTCGGGTTACCTTAGCTGCTCTGGGACCAAGCCGGTCAAACAGGTCTGGCCTAGAAATCCGTGTGTGCAATTACTCTCTGCAGAGTTGACGGGCTTCAGTATTTCCTTCATTAAAATCATTCTTTAATTTTTAGTCAGATGAGTGTATCTCTACGTTCATTCTTAACACATTGCTAATCTATATCCTGACCCTTGACCTCTTTCTCTGTTGGTAGGTACTAGACTGGGCTTCTCGACCTGCAGGGTCACTGGCACTAAGCAAACAAACTAAACAGTCAGAGTGGTTTGCCCTGGAGAGGAAAACTGGCCAGAGAGAGAATTTTCGTTGTTTGCCTCTTTTCACCTTTGTAATTTTAAACTAGGTGAGTGGATAAGGTCTTAACAAAATTAAAAGTTTAATTCTTCATCATTCTTTAATGCCTTTCAGCATCTCGAACATAACAAAGTGCCGTATTTTCCAACTTAACCAAAAGAAGAGCACATCGTCTCTAACGTTTGTATATTACAGTTTTTCAAATGTAAAAGTAGGGAATTTCAGTAGAAAAGGCTGTTAGTGATTTTCCCGTTTTAGTACTTGCACCTGACAAAGTCCTAAGAGTGTTGTGATACTTCACGCTTTCATCGCAGGGGTTAAACGGAGACTCTGTTTTGTCCTCATTGTAATATTTCATGTGAAACCTCTATGAGGGGAATATATGTCTTTAAGATGAACCTTGCAACTACAGTTGCAAAGTAACCATTTTTTAATAGATAGTGTTTATGAGTTGAATATATACGTCCATGCATCCACAGTCAGATTTCTTTAAAGAAAGGCAGACTGTTTTCATGGACCTCTTGTATCTAAAGCTCTCTCTTCACCTGGGAGTATAAAAGCCTTTCCACATTTATTCTCACAGGAGAGCCGGGAGCAGGACGTGTAAGTGCCTCTGATTGTCAGATGTGTGTAATGAGGCTCAAAAATAATAACCAGCTGGAGTAATGAATTCAGGACTGTTAGTTCCGGCTAATTGACTTCCATCTACAGCCCTTCAGCATGGTCAAAGGCCTTTTCCGTGTAATCTTCAGATTTTACCATTTTTCTACTCTTTGTGGACTTTAAATGGTTGACTAGAAAGTAGAGAAATTAAATTGTGTAAACAGCAACTTTCACATCCTAGCAGAGGCTTTCTCATGATGGAAATCATATGGTAAACTCAGTTGTCTTCTCTTACAAGTGGTTTCCAGAAGAGAGAGCTGTATAGTAAATTTGAAAAGCATCAACTCCTTATTTTACTTACTTATTATTTGTCATGATACTTAATGCTCTGAGATTTCAGATGACATTTAATAACTTTAAAGAAGAATATGTAATTTTTATTTTATATTTTTAGATTGTATTTATTTACTGGAGAGAGACGGAGAGCACAAGTAGAGGGAGTGGCTGAGGGAAAGGGAGAAGCAGACTCCCCGCTGAGCAGGGACCGCCTCCCCCCCTCCCCCCACCTATGTGGGGCCAGATCCTAGGACCCGGAGCTCATGACCTGAGCAGAGGCAGATGCTTAACCAACTGAGCCACCCTGGTGCCCCTACAATTTGTATTTTTTAACAAACATATGTTCAAATATGCAACTCTCGAGGTGCATTTCAATGAACTAATTTTCCTTGATGGGTTGCGTCCATTGCAGTGGGTTCACTGAACTTCAGAGCAGAAGTGTGCTACAGTGGGGATATGCTTGAAAGAGCATGCATTATTTAATAAATATTTTACAAAAAGTACATCCTATGGTCTAGAAAGTTGATGTAAGGATTTCCATTGTGTGAACAAGAAAGCCAGTTCAGACATTTGAGGCATCATTCCCCTTACTGGGCCTACCCCGAGGCGATGACCTCAGATCTGGCCGTTCCAGAGTCCATGTACTTCCTGTTTTTCACTGCCTTTGCTGCATCAAAATACAGTGCAATAAATAGGAAAAGGGAGTGGAGACCCCCACGTCTTCTAAACTATTCAGGTCCCGAAGAATGTTTTCTGTTATTGTTGAATACTGAACACTTCGTCCCAGAGATCTGAATGATAAATGCAGACAATCCCATCTCCATCACGAAATTCTAGACAGCTTGAGAGC